TATTTCTGAAGGAATTTATCTACGTCTAATACTGCAATCACCCTTAATTTTAGCTGCTGCTGCATGTGACAAATGTCCACTGGACTTTCAATGCCTGACCCTCTCTTTAGGATCCACTCTTAGGGTATTTCTAAGAGACACTCGCGGGAACACCTCAGCAAGGAGAGTCCAAAAGTGGCAGGCTCAAACCCAGAACCTCAATCAATGGCTGATACCAAATGAGAGACTCCCCACTGGGCACACAGAAAACTGGGCAACTTGGAAGGCGCTGAACAGACTGCACTCTGGCACCACGAGATGCAGAGCCCTCAAGAAATGGGGCCACAAGTGGAATCCACGACATGCGAGTGTGGAGAGGAGCAAACCACTGACCACCTGCTGCAATGCACCCTGAGCCCTGCCACATGTACAATGGAGGACCTCCTTGCGGCAACACTAGAGGCACTCCAAGGGGCCAGATACTGGTCAAAGGACATTTAATCAACTACCAAGCTTGCAAACTTTGTGTGTTTTGTTTGTTTGTTTGTTAAAAATGCAATACAACTGTTTGGTTTGCTCCTGACACGATAAATAACTCTTAGGGTGACCCAGATATGGCATACAATGTGTCCTTGGTATCTGCTATAATTTGGTTCCAGGATTCCCAGTGGATACCAAAATCCATGGATGCCCAAGTCCCTATAGATGCAATGGTGTCCCTTTAATAAAATGATGAAATAGAAATGTGCTTTTGGGGCATTTTTTTTAAAAAATGCCAATTTGTGGATTGTTGAATCCATAAATAAAGAATTTGTGGATGTAGACGGCTGACTGATGAGTGTTTGTTTAGATCAGTGCTTCTCAACTTTCCTAATGCCATGATCCCTTAACACGGTTCCTCATGTTGTGGTGACCTTAATCATAAAATTATTTTCGTTGCTACTTCATAACTGTAATTTTGCTAGTGTTATGAATCATCATGTAAATATCTGATATACAGGATGTATTTTCATTCACTGAACCAAATTTGGCAAATATACCCGATATGCCCAAATTTGCATACTGCTGGGGTGGGGGAGGGGGGATTGATTTTGTCATTTGGGAGTTGTAGTTGCTGGGATTTATAGCTAAACTACAATCAAAGAGCATTCTGAACTCCACCAATGATGGAATTTAACCAAACTTGGCACACAGAACTCCCATGACCAACAGAAAATACTGGAAGGGTTTGGTGGGCATTGACCTTGAGTTTTGGAGTTGTAGTTCACCTACATCCAGAGAACACTATGGACTCAAAATGATGGATCTGGACCAAACTTGACACAAATACTCAATATGCCCAAATGTGAACACTGGTGGAGTTTGGGAAAAATAGACCTTGACATTTGGGAGTTGTAGTTGCTGGGATTTATAGTTCACCTACAATCAAAGAGCATTCTGAACCCCACCAAGAATAGAATTGGGCCAAACTTCCCACAAAGAACCCCCATGACCAACAGAAAATACTGTGTTTTCTGATGGTCTTTGATGACCCTGGGATGTATAGTTCACCTACAATCAAAGAGCATTCTGAACTCCACCAATGATAGCATTGGTCCAAACTTCCCACACAGAACCCCCATGACCAACAGAAAATACTGTGTTTTATGATTGTCTTTGACCCCTCTGACCCCTCTGACACCCCCTCATGACCCCCCCTCCTGGGGTCCTGACCCCCAGGTTGAGAAACACAGGTTTAGATTGTTCTGTGCTAGAAACCTCAGTACCGTGAATCATTGTATGGAATCTCTTCTGATTGAATGTCATAAGAAGAACTATATTTTATGATGTGTTTTGTGGGACTATCAGAGCATACTAGGGTTTGCTTGTTTAGTTTGAATACTCTCTCACCCACATCTTGCAGAATCAGCCTTGACATATTTCTCTAGCTAAGCATTTTTAATCAAAATCTCCTTCTTGAGCACATTTGAAGTAACATTAGCTGATTCCTAAACATAGTTCGGCTAACCCACCTGCTGTTGTTGCCTCGTCCACTGGGCCTCCCCTCCCTGCCCCCACTTCCTTCGCATAGCTTTCTGGCTTGATTCTTCCCTTGGCTTCTTCCCCCAACATCTACACAGATAATAAACGGGACCTTAATCCCTTCTCTGCTTTGCTGGAATGTGCTAACTCAACAGTAAAGAGACACAGTGTTTTTGCAAAACCTCAGCCCAAAGGGGTGCAGAGAAGGACAACAGTTGCCTTCTGACTCCTTCAGCAACATGGATGGGAGGGAAAGGACACATCAGTGAATAGTAAGAATGGGGCATTCATCACAACTTAATAATTATAGTAATAGCAATAGCAATAGCAGCAGCAACAACAACAACAATTGTGCAGTTTTCTGGCATTGTATATTTCTGTTATTGTTCATCTGTATTTTGATTTTGTAACCCACTTGTCGATAGATGTCCAGAATCGGCAGCATCCACCACGGTCCTTTTTATCTTTTTTATCTGGATCATGACCGAACTAGTATAGACTTGGTTTCGCTTTGTTTCTCCATAGTGCTAATGAGTTAGGTGCTCTTACTTCCACTCCTCAACTGAGACCTCTCTGACTTGGTTGGATCTGCTGGTAGTTACACTGCCGCCAGCATGTTTGGCATGGCTCTCAGCATCCTTGAACACACAAAAATACTGTGGGACTTTCGAATCCAAACTGATGAAGTTCTGGAACACAATATACCAGACATCACAATTGTGGAAAAGGGGAAAAGTTTGGATTATTAATGTCACAATTCCAGGTGACAGTAAAATTGATGAAAAACAAGAGGAAAAACTCAGCCGTTATCAAGACCTGTGGAGCCCCTGGTGGTGCAGTGGGTTAAACCTCTGTGCCGGCAGGACTCAAGACCAAGAAGTCATAGATTCGAATTCGGGGAGAGCGCGGATGAGCTCCCTCTATCAGCTCCAGCTCCTCATAGAGGAACAAAAGAGTCCTGGCCAGTGTCTGGGACATCTTTCATTTCCAGTCAATTTGTGGGTGAGGAGCCCCCGGTGGCACAGTGGGTTAAACCCTTGTGCCGACAGAACTGAAAACCAACAAGTRGGAGGTTCGAATCCAGGGAGAGCGTGGATGAGCTCCCTCTGTCAGCCCCAGCTCCCCATGCAGGGACATGAGAGAAGCCTCCCACAAGGATGGTAAAACATCAAAACATCCGGGCGTCCCCTGGGCAATGTTCTTGCAGACGGCCAATTCTCTCACAACAGAAGCAAATAAATAAATAAATAAAATAAATAAAATAAAATAAAATAAAAAAATCAGGACCTGAAAAATCGAACTGCAAAGGCTCTGGCATAAACCAGTACAGGTGGTCCCAATGGTAATCAGCACACTGAGTGCCATGCCAAAAGATCTCAGCCAGCATTTGTAAACA